GGTTACATTTTCTATTTCCTCCACCCGAGCTTGTACTTTTAATTTGTCCCATGGAACTTGAAGCAGTAGTGGAGAGTACAGATGTGTTGATACCAATTACAGATGATGTACTGTTTCCATTTATTGACCCATTTACACCTTGAAAGTAAAAATAAACATGTTTATATAATAGAATATTATTCAGCCTTAAAAAGGAATGAACTACCAATATATATACACAATATGGATGAAACTAAAAACATGACAAATGAAAGAAGCCAGACATAAAAGGTCACATATCTTATGATTAAATATTCACAGTAGGTAAATCTATAAAGACAGAGTACAAACTGGTAATTGCCAGGGGCTGGGGGAGAGAGTACAGAGGAGCAACTGCTTAATGGATACGAGGTTTTCTTTTGGGGTGATGAAAATGTTTGGGAACAAGTTAGAGGTGGCGGCTGCATAACACTGTGAATGCATTAAATGGCACTGAATTGTTCACTTTAAAATGGTTAACATCATGTTATATGAATTTCAAAAAACATGTCTAGAAAGATTACTAAATACAAATGTTCCCCTTTTAGAGCAAACTCCCCAAAACACTTACTCAAGTGAAAAGATAATAAACCATCTAAAATGTTATTTTCAAATTATATTCTAATGATAGTTATAAGTTGCAGACATATTAATCACCATTTAAAAGAAAAACAGAGTACTAGGATATTAGTTTTAATAATGCTTAATTGCAGAAGTAACATATAATATTGGATTCCATATAGGGAGGTAATGAGATATAGTAGAATTGCGTTAAAATCTTGACTATACCACAGCCATATGTCAGCAGTATTTTCTTGAACAACTTACTTAACTTTGGCTGCAAAATTAAAATACTTCCAATTTCAAAGAATTATTGTAAGGATTAAGCATGACAATGTGAAAGGGTCTTGCAAAATGCTATAAAAATGTTATTAAACCTAACTCCTTGAAAATAGTATTGGAATGGAAGTTTTATAGTACTTCACTTATGTTAACATGAATACCTTTTTCAGGACCACTTCGATTACTTTTTCCTGAAGTCCTTGAATGGAATGAAGAAGAATCATGATTCTGGGCTGGAGGAGCAAACAGTGGTGGAATTCCCAGTAATGGTGAAAAGAAGGTTGCCCCCGTACGAGTATGAACATCTGTTGTTCGCCACCATTCTGCACCTCAAAACCAAACAAACCAATCAAACAAAAATATTTGAATTAACTTTTCAGTTAATGTGTCAACTGCTTTCTATATTTTATTCCCTTTCAAAAATATTTCAAGGAATAGAATTGTTACATTATATATAGTTCTGATAATCTTTCTAATTATAAACAGCTTATTAGAACTTGTATACTCTTCTCATTAGGCCAATGTCCAAAAATCTTCACTTAGCACCTTTCTAGAGTTCAAGGATATAAAGAACAAAGGTAGTCCATAGTTTTACAAATAACACTGAAAACTTGAAATATAAAAGAACTACTTTACTCTTTAATTGACTTAAACCATATCTTTTCTAAATTAGTAAAGACAATATTAAGACTATACTAACCTGTTTTAAAACTTTAGAATTTAAGGTTATACCTACAAGCACATTAAGAATTTCCTCAAATTACATACAACATAAATCTGGCTCTGATAAATCAAGTGGTCTAAATAATAACACAAAACTACTATAATCCATTATACCTGAAATACATTTATGAAAGAAAACATTCTATGGTCAAACAAAAACATAAATATAGCAAAATCAGTAAGCCTTTGTTTTAGTTTAAGAAAGGAGTTCTCAAAGAATTTCAAAAACAGGTAATTTTATATTAAAATATAAAAAATTTATAAAGCTTCTCCCCTGAAAGTTAATGAAGAAAGCTTGAATTTTGTTTATACTTCTGTTCATAAATTACAGACAACAATGATTGTTTTATTGACATAAAATGACTAAATGGTAGAAAATCATTGAATACAATTTAGATACTCAAACAGTGGCTCTCAGTTAAAACTTTTAGAAAAGGCAATAAGGCAAGTTTTACAGAATACATTTTTCGAGGAAGAATGAAGTAATCTTATATTACCCCAACTAAAATATTGAAAACCATTTTCTCCAGCTAGATAGCCAGTAGATCACCTAATCAGTTATTATCTTTCAGGCCAGTCTTCCAAAAGATATAGTACAGTTTTCATTGATTGTAACAACCACAAGAAACTTAGAGGAAAAAAACCACAACAGTGTAGTATGGGAAAAACTCAAAATTGTCAGTTTATTGCATTATATGGTCTTTAAAGCTTTTCTAGAAATATCCTTTCATTAAAAATAGAATGTAGGCTTGGCCTGTAATCCTAGCACTTTGGGAGTCCTAGGCGGGAAGATCGCTTGAGGGTAGGAGTTTGAGCCAGCCTGAGCAAGAGCTAGACCCCACCTCTATAAAAAATAGAAAAATTAGCCGGACGTGGCTCCTATAGTCCCAGCTACTCGGGAGGCTGAGGCACAAGGGTCTCTTGAGCCCAGGAATTTGAGGTTGCAGTGAGCTATGATGATGCCACTGCACTCTAGCCTGGGTGATAGAGCAAAACCCTGTCTCAAAAAGAAAAAAGAAAATAGACTGTAAAGTGCACCTTCGTTATCTAATGGCAAAATCTGGTTATAAAAAAAGTGAAATGTTCATTGTAGCTGCCATTCTCAAAGGTCTAAAAAACAGTATAAGCAGAAAACTGCAAAAGCTATTCTTCTGCACTGCAGGAAGGCGATGCTAGTGAAATGACACCAGTGTATATTCAGGCGTGCCTGAATGATGGGAACTGAACCAAGACTAACTATACAAAAGCATTAATCATTTATTCACTGTTCAGATGAAAGACATACATTTAGATAGGGGAACAAAGTGTGTATTTTTGGCTTGTATCAGCACAGTCAGAATCTATTGTTATTTATAGGTTTGAAAACTACGTTCCACCTAGCTAATAAAAAGGGACTGAGGATTCCTGGAGATATTTATATTATTTAAGACAGAGTCTGTAGTCAAAGCATTAAAGTTGAATGTATAGACTTTGTAAACAACCAACAAATCAGTAAGGTAACCGAACTGTAGTAGGATTCAAATATTTTAGACATAAACTCAGAAAAAACATAAAAATGTACTTCAGAATATCAATGATAAATAAGCACATGGTAGGAATTAGAGAAAACAATGGGAAAATGCATGTTATAAATAAATTGCACCACAGAGGAAAATACAAAACAAATGAATAAGATTAATTAAATAAAAAGATGAAAATGGTACAGTTTCTGAATATAAACTTTACAAATGTCTGATATTATTTCATAGGAGATAATATAATTTTTATTAAGTGACAAGTTTAATTACCTTCCAAATTTAGGAAAATAAACAAATTTATTCACTCACAAACTAGCTTGTTGATAAAAGGAAAAGTACAAAATAAGATTACATAAATTAGAACATGAGGAA